TTATGATAACTTATTGTGTCAAAAGTCGTTTACAATCGGTCTTAAAACTTGATAAATAACTTTGGAACTGTGCCGCTAAAAATATAACTTGTTTTTTACGAATTTCGCGAATTCTCTTCATTTTTCTGATGCTGCCATTGCAATATTTTTTAAGGCACACGCTTCATTGACGGCTGATTTTCTTTTATTTTATCAATACTTTCTAATGCTATAGGTAGTTTGACGTTAAGAGAAGAGTTCAGGGCCAAAAAAGTGGAAAAACTAATAAAAATAGTGTTTCACAATAAATTAGCGACATAACCTCACGAAGGTGGCACACCGAACGGACCATTGGTATGGATCTAGGACGGGTAATATCTTGTAGAGTATTGTTTCTTGATACTAAAAATACTTGGTTCAATTGTTTTCATTCACTGCATAGATCAGGAGAATAAAAAGACTTTTTCAAAAATAGTCGGCGACACGTAAATTTTAGATATTTTCTTAATTTTTCCACATAAATTTTTAAAATTTATTATGAAAAACTGACATTTTAGCTTGGAAATATATCTAAATACGTTGTTCGAGTATGTTTTTATGCGATTGCAGCCCTAAACCTAATGAAAAATTACTTCAGTTCGAGAAAAACGATAGCGACACTAGAATTTAAAGTTCTGTAGAATTACCCACATCTCCGCTCGTAGGACACGTAGAAAAAAAATAAAACCACTTTTATCACACAATCCGTGTAGTGGCTATCGATTGAGCATACATAGAACGCGATCGGTTCAGCCGTTATTGAGATCCGATAATCTCGATCTGCCGCAACTCGTCGGTTCGCGTAAAGGAGGCACGGCAGTGTCGCTTCGCGCAGCTTAGCACCGAGACACTACCAGTGTCTTCAGATACGTTTTCATTTGCGTCATTTAAGGCAAAAATTTCAAATTTTGATACACAAAGACGTGGACCTTATTGTTTTAAAATTCAAGGACAAATATATTATCAAATTAATACTGCGCTATATCCCACACCAAATGAACCGCCAAACTATGGACAACTTTTTATTGTAGATAATAACGAAGCAACAGAGTCTAGATTACATCGAAATTCGAATCTTGATGAAGAAATGTTACATTTAATAGATAATTTAATGCGTAAGAATAATATTTTTGCACAACCCAGGTAAGGTTAGCCGACTCTCACCCGATGTTGAACGTTGGG